TGTTCTTCTTCGACTCTAAATGCCATTAAATGCACATGCATCCCTATTTCAGAAATGGTAAGCTTTAAGAAAGCCTGCTTCTTAGAACCAGTGAAATCGGTATCTATTCTTTAGTGATTTAATTCTTCCAATACCATTCACTGAGCACCGTGAGTACTGCTATGGGCCAGGCATTGTCCTGGATGCAGTAAAGGATGAACCCAAACAGACCTGGGCCCTGCAGCTGGGCTGTCAAAAGCAAGTGGGGGGCTGAGACGGGTGCTGACCATCACATGATCATACAAATGAGTCTGAATTCAAACTATGGAAGAAATGGTGATGTGAACTAGAGAAAGTTTTCCATGTATTAGAAATTGATCTGATAGCTTAAAAAAAGAGAGAGAGAGAGAGAAGAAGGCAAAATGAGGAAGGGAGGGTGTGGGACAGTCTGGACAGAGTAAAGAACCCCTCCGGAGGCGGTAGGGCAGGAAAAAGCGTGGCACTTAGAGAACTGGAAGGTGGAAAGGAGCAGAGAGAGCAAGGCGTTTGGTTCAAGGTCAGGAGGGAGACACAGGAAGGGGCCACTCGGCACCCACATGCCTGGTGCTGCTCCCGGCACTGGGGAGACGGTATGGACATGAGGGGCAGAGTCCTGCTCTCAAGCAGCTTACCTTGCAGTGGCTGGGAGGGTAGTGGGAAGGGATGAGAGGTGCAAGATAGATAATTTAAAAAAAAAAAGAAAAGAAGACAAAGTCAGGTAGCAGCCAAAGCTATGCCAAGAGCTAAAACGCACTAACGAGATATAGAATGACTAGGTATGACACAGCTTGAGAAGCCGCTCTAAGAAAGTGACACGTCAGCTGAGATCTAGATACATAACCAGGAAGAACTGGAATGATAAACGAGTAGGAAGAGCCTTCCTGGCAGAGGGAGCAGCTGGTGTCAAAGCCCAAAGGAAGAATGTTCTGCAGGACAGAAAGCAGACCAGGGTAGCTGGCATCTCGAGGTCAAGAGGAAGAATCTGACGAAATGATGCTGCCCAGACATGCGGATGTCATAGAAGGCACTGCAGGCGAAACCGAGGAATTTCGATTTTAGAATAAGTGCAATAGCAAAGCCACTGGAGTGGTCTTAATCTGGGAAGTGACAT